TCCTCATTTTACAACATTTAGCAACCAAACTTTGCAATGTTACTCATTTTAAGATACACTAACCAGTTATGGTAATGGATTTCGTTCTTCTTGTGTAGATCAAAATTTCGTCAAAAGCTGCAATCGTCCCATTAAAAGGGTTGAAATGCGCCTTAAAAACACTGAAACTCCGTCAAATAAATGGTAGTAAAGATAGTTCGTCGTATATTATCAATCGTACGAATTTAATACAGTTTTAGAAGTTGAAGACATAGGTTTTATGGTTGGGAAGAGTTCTGCTAAACCCAGTTTGAAGTTCCACTTGTTGTGGCTTGGAATGCAGCCGTTGTATCAGGACGTGAAATTCTGTGATTTGGCGTTGTAAACAGAGCGAGGACAATGTCTAAATTATTCATATATTGTAATTACTCAATTCTTTTCAATGATCTATTGTATTGGTAGCCGTTGCCATCGCGTTGTCGTCCTAAAATCGTATTAGAGACCTTCCGATTTTAGGACGGCAACGGCTACCAATACAATAGATCATTGAGAAGATTTGAGTAATTACAATATATGAATAATTTAGACATTGTCCTCGCTCTGTTTACAACGCCAAATCACAGATTTTCACGTTTTTTTACAACGGCTGCATTCCAAGCCACAACAAGTGCAACCAGTCAAACGGGGTTTAGCAGAACTCTTCCCAACCATAAAACTCATGTCTTCAACTTCTTAACCTGTATTAAATTCATACGATTGATAATATACGACGAACTATCGACTACCATTTATTTGAAGGAGTTTGTTTTGGCCGTCGCCGTCGCGGTTGCCGTCCTAAAATCGTAAGCTCTCTAGCCTGCGAACAGGCTCTCAAGCTGAATTGAGAGCCTGCATCGGTGACTAATGAATTTGAATATCTGCCCTGTAACGTTCGTTTTTCCAAATATGGAATGTCTATCCTAATATGGTGTTGTTTACAACTTTCGTGCAAACTAAATTTAGACCGTGCAAACTAAATTTAGACCGTACAGTTTATACTGTTTTTCGAAATATAAGATATTCAAGCAAAAGTTCAAATGTTTTAAATACTGTTTTCTCAAAACAGAACATTTCGTGCTTTGAGATAAGATGGCCAAGACCAATTTGATCAGTTAATGTGTTTTTTTATGCATAGTGCTTCAGCAGTTGACATATATAGAGCTCAGCGGAAACATATAAATTATAGCATCTGACCAATGAGAATTTCGCGTCACGATTTGAGACGCAGATATTCAAATTCATTAGTCATCGATGCAGGCTCTCAATTTAGCTTGAGAGCCTGTTCGCAGGCTATAAGCTCTCTAAAGGCCTGATTCCACGAGCGCTTTTTCTCGGCGAAATGCGAAATATTTCGCCTGTTTCTTTTGAATTGCGACTACTCGAATAAATTATTTCTACTTGATTGATCACAATTCAAAAGAAACAGGCGAAATATTTCGCATTTCGCCAAGAAAAAGCGCCCGTGGAATCAGGCCTTAATATCTCTATTTTTGTAAACCGGAAACGTTTTCGTTTGCAAAAGACACACCTCCGGTACCTCCCAGAGAGCTGTAGCTTAGCAACAATAAGCGACCAAGATGAAAATATTAAAAACTTTCACTTTTGAAATACTGCAAAATTAACAAAAAGTTAAAGAAACGAAGACATTCAAATTAAAGAACAAGAGACAACACATGTAAGTTTAAACATATTGTAGGTTTTACGAGTGATTTGATCGAGTTTTGGTGCAGTTTTGTGCGTTTAAAATTGGAAATACGATATGGCGATATAGGAGGGTCTTAATGCCTAATGGGGGTCTTCGGTGTCAGTTGTCAGCTAAAATTTAAGCCAATTGTCAGTTGTCAGTGCGATATATTGCAAGCTGTCAGTAGTCAGTTACTGCAAAATGCTGACTTATAATTTTTTTTATCATTTCTCAGTAGTCAGTTAGGATATTTTGTCAGTTGTCAGTCAAAAATTCAGGCAAATGTTGGTAGTCAGTTAACCCCATTCAGACCCTCATATAGCCGATAGGCGAATTTACCTTGTTTTTATAATTGCTTGTGCCTGACGCTTTAAATTTGCTTTTGTCGGCATTTTGACCATGTTTGATAGAAGATTATGTTCTTTATATAAATTTGCCTGTTACTATTTGTGAAATTTCAAAAAGAAAAGAAAATTCTTTGCAATTCTTTGATACTAGAAAAAATAGAGGATGCGTAGCCAGGTTGAAACATTATTTATTGAACATTCTCTGACTAAATATTTCTACGAGAACTCGTAGAAATAAATATATTTAGTCAGAGAACGTTCAATAAATAATTGTTTGATAGTTTAGTGTACTATAGCTAACCATATTTTTTGTTTTTATTTGCAAAAAATTGCTTAGGTATAGTCAAGAGTAGTCATGACATATAGTTGTTGTAAGGAACAAAACAAATTTTATAATTCCACAAATATTCATCCAGGGCCGTAGCAACCGGGGGGGCTGGGGGTGCTGCAGCCCCCCCAATAATTTGCTAATAATCATTCTTTTTTCAAAATCATGCAAACTTTATCATTTAATCTGTGACAAACTGCAAAGAATGAAGATATTACTCATACTCCAGATCGTTCCTCGCGTAGAACAGTTTTAGCTGAATTTCTGTCGCGCATTTTCAAGAAAATCCCACAAAATCTGCACATTTTTGATGAACTAATGATTTATTTTGTCTTTTGCGTGTTGGGTCTTGCGAAAGAAAACTCTGAAAATGCCATTTCAGACCATCTAGAGACTCCAGATTTTCGAAATTTTCTCAGATGTTCTGCCTTCATTTCCGCGCAACTGCCATTTACGACGAAAATTCCCGCCGCGCATTTATAATACTACAGTCTGGCCCATACTTTCCTGTAAATTTCGACATACTAAAACGCTGTTTCCTGACTATCAGAATTCTGTTAAATCTTCCCCCAAAGTCCAGGAAATGGCATTTTAGAGACTCTAAATTTAAAAATTTCCTCGGGCCTTCGGCCCTCGCTTTCAGCCCCCCCAATCGAAAGAGCTTCCTACGGCCCTGTCATCACGATTCTTTTAGCTTCTTCAAAGTTCAAATATTATTACAAACCAACTTGTGAAATTGAGGATTTTGACGGATGGCTAGAAATTTTCATGAAAACTTGACACAACTTTATAAAAAAGCATTTTTACGATCCTGAAACTAGTAGATCTAGTAGGGTTAGTTAAAAAAGTATCTGAAGCACAAAAATGATTGGGTAAACGAAAAAATGAACAATTTTCAATTTCTATTCAGGATGAACCAGGGGTATAAATAATGAATGAAAAAGCGCATGGCAACAAAATACATCGCATCTTTGACAATACAAAACCAGAAGAAAGTGAAAAAACGAAGATTTTGGACAATCCCGGAAATTGATGATGGTATTAACAGGAAGGGAACAAAGCATTTTTGGAGTGAATGAACTACATGAACTGAATGCAGATATTATATTTTGCGAAGACAATGCACAAGATAGTCAAGACAACGGCATTTTGAAAATGAATTTGGATTCCTATAAAGCAGCAAGAGGATTTGTTATTTATTCCAATTGCCTTCGAAAGAATCTGCATATACGAAAGGTAAGCGATAAATACATGTATAGGATACTTTTAACACTATTATTTTGTGATGTTTTGGCTCTTTTGAAAATGGTACACTGTTAATTTCGGGGAGTTAATTTAACTCCGGTGGAGTTATACTGTACCTCAATTAACTCCAAATGTGGAGTAAAATTAGGTTGAAAATAATACCACTAGAGTTAAATTACTTCATGAAATTTACAGTGTAATATTTTGCAAAAACATGCTTGGGTCATCTCCAAACATAGTAAAATACTTTTAAAATATTTTGCCAACTTCGCATTTGATGCAAATGTTTGAGTTATTTTGTTTATTGTATGTGAGTTATTTCGGATAGATGGAATACATGTTTCCATTAAATTATTTCGAGGTCATTATATTTGGTACCAGGATGAGATTTTGGCAATATTGAACAATTATTAGATTCGGTTTTTGCATGGGTTGAAGAATTATTGATACCGACGTTTGTGTCATTGACAGAAGCCGAAGGCTGAGTTTCACTGAGAGTTTCACTGTTGGCTGTTAACCAATCAGAAACCACAATCTTTTAAATAAACAACGATAATTCAACTTGATTGAAATGTTGGAAGCATATTGATAAAATGTTTAATAAAATTGAAACGGATTGATAAAATGTTTATTCCCTGTGTATTGATAAAATAATATTGCTGGAAGAATAATTTCACAGAATATGTTTTGAAAATAATGCCCACATGTTGGGTTTGCAGCCCAACCAACGGCAACAGGCTACATATTGCGCTGTTACATTAATATATCATTTAAAACATAATCCTCAGTATGTATCTGTCCAAATTTTATTTGTCGAGTTGGCCAAATCAATGTTAGCCATATTTAATTACGTATACACAGCTGTTTGTAGGGTGGAGTGGTTGGGGGGGGGGGATTTGCATAAAAGCACCTGGATACTTATAGTTTTATCACTGTAAGGGGCCGACCATTTAACTTTGAGGGGGGGGGGGTGATTTTGAAAAAAAAATTCCTGCAAGGCTATTCTGGACAAAAAAAAATACCTGCACTAACAAACTGGGGAAAAAATATCCTGCCCCAGTATTTGGTGGGAAAAAAAATGTTGCAAAACAGCATGGTTGCAGGGATCGATTTGACCAGTCCCAGAAGATCAGGTTAATTTCTTGTTGGAAAACTCCTCAAAATGCTGGAAATAGCTTATCTGAGCTTCAAAAAATTCAAAATTTTCTGGGGGGGCATGCCCCCAGACCCCTCTAGAGGCTCGCACCTTCGGTGGTCGACTCAGTTGTTGCTGCCCTATGACGTATCTTTGTATGTTTGCATGGTGATAAAATATAATAGGTTTTGTTTGTGGAAACACTCACGTAAATTTATTACTGCAAAGCTTTCGATCCGTAAGCCCGAATCTTCATCAGTGCTAATAATATGAAGCATATATTATTATTATATGCTTCATATTATTAGCACTGATGAAGATCCGGGCTTACGGATCGAAAGCTTTGCAGTAATAAATTTACGTGGTGTTTCCACAAACAAAACCTATTGTATACTTATTAGTTAATTAAACCATGCATATATATGCTGTAGGTAGCTGCAGTGATACAGACAGGGCTGTAGCAAGGCGGGTATTGGGGGTGGTTAACCCCCCCCCCCCAACTTTTTTAGAATCAACATATTGAGAAAATCGGGTTGGCCATTTGGAAAATTACGGCAATTATTTAATAGTAGAATAAAATTTTAGTTGTTAAACAGAGAAAATATTATAAAATTGTATTGTCACTATAAATTGTAAGAAAATTGTAAATTTCGTCATACTAAAACGCTTTTTTCGGACCATCAGCATTCCGTCAAAACTTCCCCAAAGTCCAGGAAATGGCATTTCAGAGACTCGAAATTTAAAAATTTCCTCGGGCCTCCGGCCCTCGTTTTCTGCCCCCAATAAACAAAAGCTCCCTACCGCACTGCTTCTGTAATATGTCTGTGCGTAAATTATGCATATTTTTGTTAATTGTAAATTGCGTCTTCATTTTCCGAGTAGCAAACACCTTCATGGCTAATAGTATGCCATGATATATTCGGAAATTATTTTCGTCATTCGGAAATTTTTGGCCTACACCCCCCCCCCCCAACTATACATGCTAGCTACGGCCCTGGATACAGACTTGCCGACTGGAACTTCTCCAGGTCCCCCGCTAATTATGTCCTCTCCAGTTACACATCCGGCTTAAAAAAGGCCCTGAACCAAATGTTATACCTCATAGCAATATGTATTATTAAGAGCAATGCATGAATCTAGAAAACTCAACGTTAACTATAATTAAAGAATCTAAATAGTATAAGCTATTGAAAAAAAATGCTGCGAAAGAAAGTGTGGCAAAAAAAAATCGTACATGGTGATGGGATAAAAAAAAAATCTTGCACATAATGATCCCAGAAAAAGAATTCCCTGCCAGCAGTAAATCAC